GTGGATGCCCAGGGTCTGTTGGCATTTGAAGGCCATGCTGCCACTGGGGCCATGATGATCTGGGCAATCTACAATGCCAACTAGGGCCATGATGACATCGCTGCCTGGGCTGCTGCCAAGGACCTTGTCTGGGTCCATGGTCTAACTGTAGCTGGGGTCTGTGTGGATATTCCTGTCCCTTATTGCCACCAAGGCCAATGCAGAGGTCAAGGTTCTGGGCTGCCACCTAGAGCCATCTTAGTGCCCAAGGGCTTTGCCTCTTTAGGGACATACAGATATGGATAGCGAGCAAGTGCTGCATCCTAGAGCAAAGGTGTTACATAGACATGGGTTGCTGTCAGAGGCCATATCTGGGTCCATGGCCCTACCGTATGCAAGGTCTGTGGTGAGATCCTTGGCTTCTGTTTCCATGGAAAATAGTGAGAATAGGGTTGCAAAGAGTTAGCCCTACCCCTCACCAACTGCAGCATTTGGGAGAGTGGTCCCTGTACCTCACCTGAGCTGCACAGTAGAGTTAGACTTCATGCGGTGGGTACAGGTGAGCTGGCCCTGAAAGTGTGAGAATTGCCAGGCTGTGGTAGCATATGCCTTTAATCCCAGCACTTGGGAGGCAGAGCCAGGCTGATCTCTGTGAATCGAGGCCAGATTGGGCTACCAAGTGAGTTCCAGGAAAAGGCACAAAGCTACACAGAGAAACCCTGTCTCGAAACCCCCCCCCCCAAAAAAAAAGAAAAAAGAAAGAAAGAAAGTGTGAGAGTAAGATAAGTAGCCCCACTGTCATGTGGTGGCATGGATGAGGAAAAGATAGCTCTTGGCCCTATGCCCCGCATCCCTCACCACTTATGGAAGACAGGAAAAGCAGGGCCCGTGGTCATGAGAGTGAGAGAGCTGATCCTGCCCCTCACTGAGGGCAGCACTCAGAAAAGTGGGCCCTGCACCTCACCCAGGCAGCACAGTACATTTGACAGTGTCGACTGGGGCACAGGTGATCTGTCTCCATGGAAATGCATTGGGAATGTGGCCCCGCCCCTCATTGGCCATATGGTGGGGCAAGGTAGAGAAAAATTCCTCTCTTCCCCACCCCTTACTACCTGTGAAGGTAGAAGAGCTGGCTCTAAGTTTATGAGAGTGGGAGAGTTGGTACTGCACCTCACCTGGGCAGCACAATTGAGCTCACCCTCTAGGTGGAAACACAGGGGAACCTGTCCAGAGAGTGTGAGAGCAGAACTGGCCCTACTCCTTGCTACCTGCCGCATTGAGTGAGCTAGCTGGGACAGTATTGGAGAGATCACCCTGGTAGTGATGACAAGGGAAATTTGGTGGTCTGACCAACACAGCTACCACCCAGTCCCAGAACTGGGGCTGTGAGTTAACCCATCCCAACATCCACGTTATCTATGAACTGCTGGACTGTGTGAAGGGGCCTGATCTGCAGATCCAAAATTACAGGATTCCCATGACCCAGGACAACAACAGAGTATCCCGGAGGAATACCTATGAGGGCCCATTATCGATAGAGTAACAGAAGCCAGAGGCCTTAAGCCAGACAAATGATCCATTTCAAAGAATATTTACAAGTAAAGACACATAGACTGAGGGTTATACTGTATAACTCAGTAGACAACACTACAGCTTTCATGCCCAAGTTTTCTTTCTTATTTTGTTTTGTTTTTAGGCTTTACTTTTAAATTTGTTTGTTTTGGGGTGATGTCACTAGAGTAGAGGACAGAGGTAAGGGGATAGGGAGATGAGTGGGAACAGGATGCATGATGTAAAATCCACAACAAATCAATTAAAAGTTAAAAAAGAAAAGAATAAGTTCTCAAAATACCACAAAGTAATACTGACAATTTACAAGCTATTGAAGTTTTATTTTTTTTAAATTATGTGGATGTTCATGTGAGTATGTTCAAGTGAGTGTGACAATAGAGTTTCCTGAAGATGGAATCACAGTTTGTAGTGAGCTGCCTAAAATGAGTGCTAGGATTAAGACTGTGGTCCCACTATATGGGCAAGAAGTATTCTCAACTGCTGAGCCAACTTTTCAGTCCTCACATTACTCATATTATAAAATTTCTCACTTATCTTTAATTTAACATTATTCAAGGAAGATAAAAAAATAGGAAGTTATAATTCCCCACTAAGGCTGAGTCCTTTTCAGATTTGTAGGTACAACCATATACTTGATATAATGTACTTGGGTCACAGGAGGATTAAAAAAATGATAATAGATTAACTTCATGAGCTCTTGGCAAAATACTCTAGAAATTACTGCTTCATGAGCCCCATAGGCATACACAATTCCTCCATTGGCTCTAATTTTTTATTTCCTCAACAAATCTTGCAATTGTCCAATTCATGGCAGGGTATCCCTAGGTCTTCCATTGCCAGCTTTCTTGTTTCTGTTATGTTACAAATATTTTCCACATTTCAGGCCTCAAATTTTATTAACTCCATGAATAACATGTCTTCAATTCTCAAATTAAAATGCACTTACAGAGCATACCTTACTTATGAAAATGTCACCAAACATTCCTTAGTAACAGTGAAAATTCACATTTATGTCTAAATAATAACAGTGATCATTGCCTACACCCCCTAGGCCCTGGGTGGAGCTCCGGGAGTCCAATTAGCGAGAAAGAGGAGGGTTTATATGAGCAAGAATTGTTGAGATCAAGGTTGGATAAAGCACAGGGATAAATAGCCAAACAATTGGAAACTCATGAACTATGAACCAATGGCTGAGGGGTCACCAACTGGATCAGGCCCTCCGAATGAGTGAGATAGTCGATTGGCTTGATCTGTTTGGGAGGCATCCAGGCAGTGGGGCCGGGTCCTGTGCTCATTGCATGAGTTGGCTGTTTGAAACCTGGGGCTTATACAGGGTCGATTGGCTCGGCCTGGGAGGAGGGGACTGGACCTGACTGGACTGAGTCTACCAGGTTGATCTCAGTCCTCGGGGGAGGCTTTGCCCTGGAGGAGGTGGGAATAGGGGGTAGGCTGGGGAGAAGGGGAGGGGGGCGGGAGGGGGGAGAACAAAGGAATCCGTGGCTGATTTGTATTGTAAAATAAAATAAAATAAAATTTAAAAAAATTTGGATGAAAAACTGCAATGAAAAAATGTTTGTTTTCTATGACTAAAGACAAAAGTAAAGCATCATGTATTAGAGAACAGCTCTTTTCACAGCATATTTTAATAAATTCAACTTGATTTATATTTTTTCACAAATTTTATTATTGTATGCATTAATCATCTTACTGATCATTAGTTCCTTAAGGGTAAATTCCAGATTGTTGGAATTTCTTTTTTGTTCTCATTGTCCATGCCCTATACCTTCTCCTCCTCCTCCTCCTCCTCCTTTTGATGATTTTTCACATGTTTAAGGATGAGACACTTATACAATTCAACTTTATTCATTGCATGTGTTTCATTTTAATTAACACAACCAATTTTTTTTTTTTTTTTTTGCTGTGGACTCTGTTATGGGTTATCTCAAGATCTCTTTGGTCGCTTGGTGATATGTCTATGGACCAAAAATGTCTTGACTGACTTCTTGAGATCAAAGTTTGTCCTTATAATATGAATCCAATCCTAATTGAATTACTGTATCTGTGTATGGGGCATGTTTGCTATACCACTGTGATAGATGAAAGCACTAAGAATATCTTTCAGAAGGACATAAGAGAAAGCAACACAGTTTAATTTCCTTTTATATTTTTACAACTCTCTGTGTGTCATCTCATGTGCTTTTTGTCTCTATTTTTTCCCTTCTTTTCTCTTTCTTCAGTTTATGTCTTCTTCTCCTGCTTCCTTTCCTTTCACTTTCATTCTTCAATCTTCCCCTTCCTTTATCTTTTTCAAACACAGTGTATTTTTACCTGGAAACCTGTACTTGTCTCTCTTATTTCTATCTCTATATTTCTATTTTATCAGCACAAATGCAAAACTTTGTCTGTGAAGATCCTTGCTTACCTATATTATTATACTTCTGATTCCATAATTTTATTGGATTTTTGGCTAGCTTTGCAAAATTTACATAAGCCCTTAAATTTAATTTCTGTAATAAGTGCTTTCAGTAAAAGAATTTGGCATATTATTTCTATAGAAAGACTGTTAAGGATAAAAATGAGCAATAAATTGCTGTCTATGATGCATTTGTCATTTCTGATATGGAAAAATGTATCAGTTTATCTATTTGTTGTTCTTTGATTTAAACTAATCATTTTTATCTATATATTTTACATGCAATATATTTTAGTCATAGTTTCTCCTCTTCCCACTACAACCATATCCTCTCTACCCAATACATTTTATATTCTTTTTCAAATACCAATAAAAACACAAGAAACAAAATTCAAAACAAACAAAACAATCAATGTGACAAAATAAAGCAAAAACAAAGCCTACAAAATATCCCCAGAGAATTACATATTTATTGTACAACTACTCTTGTGCATTGGGCCTGCCCTGTAGTGTGCTTGATATGCTAAGGGACACTTCACTTGTGATACTCTGATCTCAGTCCCAAGTGTTGGTATTGCAGACAATGCCACTATATGTGAATATACTCTGTCTTTCTACCTATGTCTGTTTTTAATATTTATTCTACCAAAATTCTCATACATGTATTCAATGTATTTTGATCTTTATTTTATTATTTTTTTTTGCTCTCCAACCAGTTTGAGATATCTCCTCTCCTCCTAGTTCCTACCCCCACTACTTCTCTACCTCTCCCACCCACTCCTCCTTTGTTTCTCTCTAGAAAAGGACAAACCTCCCATGGATATCAAGCAACCATTACATATAAAGGTGCAATGAGACTAGGTGCTGCTCTGATATAAAGTTGGACAATGAAACCCAGTATGAGGAATATTGTCCAAAAGGAAGGCACAAGGGTCAGAAACACCCCTGCTCCCATTTTTTGGAAACCTACAAGAAGACCAAGCTACATAACTGTAACATATGTGCAGAAAGTTGAGATCATTCCCATGCAGGCTACCTGGTGGTTGATTCTGTCTCTGTTGGCCCCTATGAGTCCAGCTTTGTTGATTCTGTTGGTTATTCTTGTGGTGTTCATGACCGCTATGGTTCTTACACTCCTTTCTACCCCTCTTCCACAGGCTTCCCTGAGTTCTGCCTAATATTTGGCTGTGGATCTCTGCATCTGTTTCCTTTGGTTGCTAGGTAAAGCTTCTCTGATGACAATTGGGCAAGGTAGGCACCGATCTATGAGAATACCAGAATATCATCAGGAATCAACTTCATTAATTTTTTTGCCAGTCATGTTTAGCTCTATCCTATGTCTCTGGGCTATCCAGTCTCTGGGTACTACCCCCCGAGGCAATGTCAGGGGTGGGCTCCTTCTCAGAGCATAGGTCAGGTCTAATGCTGGATTCATATCTATCACCCTATACAAAAACTCAATGTCAAGTGGATCAAAGGCCTCATCATAAAACCTAATAGACTGAACCTAAAAGAAGAGATAGTGAGAAATAGCCTTGGATATTCTGGCATAGGAGACAACTTCCTGAAAAGAACAGCAGAAGCATAGGCACTAAGAAACTACACATTAACAAACCAAATAATTCAAATAAAAATAAGATACAGATCTAAATGGAGAATTCTCAAAAAAGGAATCTCAAATGGCTGAGAAACATCATAAAAAATGTTCAACATCCATAGCCATCAGGGAAATTCAAATTAAAATAACTCTGAGATTCAATCTTATACCTGTCCGAATGGCAAATCTCAAAAACACAAGGGACAATTAATGCTGGCAAGGATGTGGAACAATGGAAAAACCCCTCCATAGCTGGTGAGAGTGCAAATGTATACGGTTAATTTTCAAATCATTATGGCGATTTTTCAGGAACTTGAGAATCAATCTACCTCAAGACCCAGCTACACAACTCCTGGGCACCCAAGGCACACTATACCTTACTACAAGGACAGTTGCTTAACTATGTTCATACCAGCTTTTATCATAATAGTAAGAAATTGAAAATAACCTAGATATCCACCAAATGAAGAAAGGATTAAGACAATGTGGCATATTTACACAATGGAGTATTATACAGCTGTTAGGTGGGAATGGGGGTGGGCTGGGGGGAAGGTGAGGGGGGCGGGAGGGGGGCGAACAAGGGAATCCGTGGCTGATATGTAGAACTGAATTGTATTGCAAATTAAAAAAAAGAATAATAAAAGAAAAAAAATGTTATTAAATTTGCAGGAAAATAGATAGAACTAGATTTAAAAAAAAACATCCTGAGTAAGATAACTAGACAGAGAAATGTGATATATACTCACTTATAAGTGGATATAAGCTATAGAGTAAAGAATAAACATGCTGCTATCCACAGACCTATGAAGTTAAGTAACAATGAGAGCTCAAGGAGGGATGCATGAATCTCCATGGGAAGAGAGAATAGAATAAACATTGCAGGTGCAGTGGTTTTATGGGGTCAGGGGTGTGGATGGCAATAGAAGAGATCAAGTGGGAGATGGAGGGAGGGAGAGTACTGGGAAAGAAAACTGGAATTGGGGCACATCTCAGGGATATACTAGAAACCTGGTGAAATGGAAGCTCCCAAGAATCTATATGGGTGACCCTATCTAACACTCCTAGGAATGGGGAATACAGTTCCTGAACTGGTCATCTGTTGTAACCAGGCAAGACATCCAGTAGAGGGATTAGGACACCAACTCAGCCATAAAAGCTTTGACTTACAATTTTTCCTTCCTACAAGATGTGCTGGGCTAAGGTGTCACAGAAATTGTGGGAGTGGCCAACCAATGACTGGTCCTACCTATGTTTTTAATTGTGGTTTCTTTCTTTTTCACTGGTATTTTGACCTATGTCTGTAGTTCTAAATAAGAATATATTGATTCTTGTTTAATCACTTAAAATCTACTTTTGAACTTATAATCATCTCCCCATGCTTTAAGTTATCATTTATATAGTGTAGATATTATTGATATCTACCATATAACACTATTTTTAAGACAATTTAAGTTAAAACACATTTGTTATGTATATTCACATATAGTATAACACCTAGAACACAGTATCTAATTATAAGAAATTGATCACTGATTTCATGCCCACTTCAATAGTAATACTGATTTAAAACTTATAGATCTTTTCTATTCATTTACAGTGAAAATAATCACCAGATTTAATTGATCATGGCTATAGTCCCTTGTGGTGGTATTTTACTTGTACTGAAATGTGATTTTAATTGTATGTTAATAAATAAAGTTGCCTGGGGGTCAGAGCTATTAGAGCCATAGCAAGTGCGTGGTGGCGGTGGCGCACGCCTTTAAGTACCTGGAGGGCGGTACATACAGGCAGTGACGAGGCAGTCACATGTTTGGGTTTACAACCAATGAGAAGGCAGAACAGCTAGAGTATATAAAGACATACACACAGTAAGTAGGTCCCTTTCGGAGAGCTCTCTTGGCTGAAGAGGATCCCTGAATCAGGAAGGGTGAGGCTCTTAGCTCTTAGCTCTGACCTCTGGGCTTTCTTCTCTGAATCAGCTCTGTGTTTCTTATTTAATAAGACCATTGGTTACATCTACATTTGGCACCCAACGTGACAAGAATCCATTAAAAACCGGTTAACTTGGCTTGGCGGCAGGTCCGGTTTCCAGCCAGGGCAGCTGGCAGGTCCGGTTTCCCGCCAGGGCGGCCAGCTCCCTAGCCCGGCCGGGCCCAGGTCAGCTTGGCCTCAGGTCGGACTAACCTTGAGCTACTTGCTTAAAGCCGGTGCTACAGACAACTCAGGCCTGCCCTGCCAAACAGGGCCCCTGCCTGTAAAGCCAATGCACGTGGTTGGAGCTTAAGGTAGCCAGAGCCAAGGCTTGACTAGGCTCAAGCAGGAACACGTGGCTGGATTCAAGCTCTTAGGCAGAACTTGGGGCTACGGTTCTTGCGTGTACTCTCTCTCTCTCTCTCTCTCTCTGGATTCACACCTCGGACACTAGGTGGCTGTTTTGAAACTCCCTCGGATTGGTACTGTTCTACGAGGACATGGTAAGTCACTTAACATATCAAATATTTTAAAGGAAACTATTTAAAAGAGAAATTTTTTCCACATTAAAAAAAATGGGTTTTCTGTGTACATTGGAAGAAAATTGGGCTTTGTTTGCAATTTTAAGCAGTCTGACAATGGAACAGCTATATGAGAAGATTAATGTTGATCGAATTATGCATTTAATTACTATGCTTATCCTCATTTTAGTATTTAAAAAGATAGTCAAATTAAGTGCCGGGGTGACAGCTTTAGAAAAACTTGATAAATCTGTAAAAACTCAGACAGAAGAAACTAACAGTGAAGTTGCTTCAAGATTGGATCATAGGGTTACAGAAAGAAAGCCCGTTTTCACACAGTCACCCTTAGTTTGTCCAGTAACCGTACAGCAGTTGCCTGATCAAATGACTACACAAAATATTTGGGCTCCAAATGAAATGTTAGATTTATGAAGGTTTAAGGAGGCAATAGTATCTTATGGCATGCATTCCCCATATGTAAAGCAAATGTTAAACTCTTGGTCAACAAATAATAGGATTGTACCACAGGACTGGCGGGAGCTGGCACAAGCTGTTCTTGAACCCAGTCAGAGGCTTCAATGGCTAACTTGGTTCAAGGATGAAGCTAAAAACATAGAAAAACAGTGGAGGGATAAAGGAATACAAGTCTGCCAGGATCAGCTTATTGGAGAAGGTCAACATGCTTCAGCACCAGCACAATGTTTATATGATGTCCAAACCCTAATTTTATGTTGAACAGCAGCCTTGAATGCATGGGACAGAGTTGAGGAACCAGGAAAAAAAACTGAGTCATTTACAAAGGTTGTACAAGGCCCAAAAGAATCTTTCACAGATTTTTTACAAAACTGGCTTCAGCAGTAAAGAGAATGGTCCCGGATTCAGAAGCTAGTAAGATAATAATTGAATCTTTGGCCTTTGAGAATGCGAATGCAGCATGCAAAACAATAATCAGGCCATTAAAGGCAAGATCTGCACCTTTGGAAGATTGGATTAGAGACACGGTTAATGTTGAAGCTCAAGAGCATGATTATACGTGGGTAGGAGAAGCAATTTCAAAAGGTTTGAGGAATGTTAGAAGTTTTGGATGTGGAAGCAAGGACATTTGAAAAGGGACTGTAAACAGGTCATTCCTAGAAACAATGTTTCTTCAAGGAACAATGGCAACAGACTGCCCCTTCCTTTTGGAGTATGCAGAAGGTGTGGTAAGGGAAAACACTGGACCAACAAATGTAGATCAACAAGGGACAGACAGGGTAATCCTTTGCCTCAGTCTTCGGGAAACTCCCAGAAGGGCCTCATGCAGGCCCCAATAGCAAATCCAGTTCAAACCTTTCCTGCAGTCATAGAGGAAACCCCTACTCAGAGCAATTAAATAACCAAATGCCTATTGGAATAAGGCATGCTGGTCAGGATGATGAAACAGAGAGAATAGAAAATTCAGGAGAAAACATAAAGAAAATTTTTTGGCAAACTTCTATTAATGAACAAAGACCAAAATTATCAATACAAATAAGTGGTGTTTTGTTGTCTGGTCTGGTAGACACAGGTGCGGACGTTACCATAATTGCACCAGAATTTTGGCATCCAACTTGGCCCCTTCAGGAGGTAAACGTTCAACTGTTAGGAATTGGGACATTATCTCAGGTGAAACAGAGTACAAGATGGCTCAAATGTATAGGTCCAGAAGGAAAGAGAGGAAAATTGAAACCATATGTAGCTAACATAGCTATGAACCTGTGGGGTCGAGACTTGTTACAACAATGGAATACTCAGATTAACATCCCTCCAATCTCAGAAACAAATCATAAACTAGCCCATGTTTCTGGGAGAAATATTAGAAGGCATTATTCTGAGTGGTCACCAGCCATCCATATTATACAAGAACAGGGCACAACAACTGATGATCTTCCAAAAACAACAACAGCTCTACCTTTAAAATGGTTGACAGACAAGCCTGTATGGGTCCAGCAATGGCCTTTAATAACAGAGAAACTCCAGGCTTTAGAAGAGCTGGTAGAAGAACAG